TTACTGTATTTGCATTACTGTAAGGGTAGGTGTACATGTTAATAAAGCATAATCTGATGGGTAGCGTTTTTTGTTACGTCAGTGTGCTACCTACTGTTTCAATGGGAGGTATCAAAATCTGACAGGATAGCACAAATCGTCAGAACACCGAGCCTCGAGAGTCACAGTGTAAGTGGTGATTCTTTCTGCACTGAGAACTCCCTGGTCCTAAAATATGTATTTCTCCTTCCTGTCAGGTAATCAGGGCGGAATGGGGAGCAGTTACTACGGTGGAGGGAGCCGCGGGTCCATAGGAATGAACGGCCTCAACAGTGGCATGGGGTAGGCTGGGGAATGTAGCCTCCAGGCCTTTCAGAGCTTTATAACCTTCATTTGAACAGTGTCCTCTTTCATTTGTTTGTTCTTTGTTCCTTGCTCCCTTCTAAGTTGTGTTTGGGACTGTACACAGGCAAACTTCTTTTTCCCTTTTGACATGGTTGAAAGAAATCCTAACTAGAGGTAGTAATTTATGTTAAAGAGAAACTCTTTATTTGCTGAAATGTGACAGCCCTTGTATCACACTGGAGAGGTGCCTGTAAATCTGTTTTTACATTTGAGTATTAAAGAGGTGTTTTTGTTTCCTCACAACAAGACCCTATGGGCTAACTTCAAGCCTTTCGTCAAGCTTGACGTCTTTTGCACATGGAGGTTTCACTCTGTCGGTGATTGTAGCATCATATCTTAAACTTTTCGCTGCAAAGGTGTTTTGCATGTACTTAATGCTTAATCTAGGCCGATAGCTGAAAGAGTTTAAGTTTAGAATTTTTTGTTTTTATTATTTTGAAGCATGGTGGGAAGTGGATAGGTTTCATTTAGATGCATGTAACTCTGCATTTGCTTTTTTCCCATGCAATGTATCACCTGTGTATACATTGCATGGGAATGTATTTCATGTTTATGTATTTCAGTGTAGTGGACAAATGTCTGACTCCTCATGGCTTCACAGATGGATAATAATTTGAGGCAGTGTTTATTAAATCGTACACAATTCTATAAAATCTTCAGAAACTTCATTACAGCTTTATGAACATAACAGGAGAC